GATGTAACATATTCTTGAGAAATCGGGTAGTTTCATAAATTCATTGAGCATTACTGCATTAACCATTTTCTGATGATAATATAAAAAATTAATCCTTTAAAAGCAAGTTGGAAGAGTGTAATAACTAGAATGCTCCCTTGATGCCTTACTGTGTGGTCAATCTATAAGATTTTATAAAGCCACTTTGGTTATCTGTGTTGTGGTTGCTTCCTCTGTGAATTGAAGGATCCGGTCCAACTCTGCCTGGGCGACTAGTGGTAGGAAGATAAGAGATACTCAGAATTATGATGAGTAGCTCAGATAATAATCACTAAACAGATTGTGTTGAGGCATGATGCCTCTTAACAATTGTCCACCGGGCAAGGATTTGCATTTGGGCCATTCTTTTTATCATTTTCTTTCCTAGTTGTAAAGACCGTGTTTAAGATGCTTTTAACTTGTTTGGTCCAGGAAGTAGCACCTGATCATACGGTAAAGTTGGACAGGGTGGGAGCTGATGTGCCAATTGTGAGAAGGCATGGAAGCAGTTTCCGGCGTCTGACTCTGATTGGCTCTGATGGCTCTCAGCGCCATTTTATAGTACAAACATCTTTGACACCCAATGCTAGAAGTGATGAAAGAATCTTGCAACTCTTCCGTATGATGAACCGAATGTTTGATAAGCACAATGAATCAAGGCGTCGCAACATCTACATTCACACACCAATTATCATACCAGTTTGGTCTCAGGTAATAACATTAGGCCCGTGATAATTGCTGTTCTACTTTTTCTTCTTGAATAATTTTGTTAAGAGTTCTCCGTTACTCGTTTAGTATTTTATTGTTCAATACCAATTAAGATACATAATGTTCTTGGTTTGTTTGTATGCATCATAATGTACTTATAGAAGCTTTCTCTCAGGAAATATATTTTTCTGATGTGTGATGATGATGGCTTAATGTGTGCTTAGCTTTTGTACTGCCTAATAAATCATCAAAGCGCCTAAGCAAGTGCCTTGGCCCTCGTACATCCCTTTCTGACTTGGAATCAAGTTAAGACTGTCTTTTTCATTGCTATAATTCTTATGTAGGTGCGAATGGTTGAAGATGATTTGATGTACGGCACCTTCCTTGAGGTATATGAGAACCATTGTGCTAGAAATGACCGAGAGGCAGACCTACCGATCACCTATTTCAAAGAGCAACTGAACCAAGCTATATGCGGTCAGATATCACCAGAAGCTGTGGTAGATCTTCGCCTTCAAGCATACAATGAGATAACCAAGGGTATTGTGACAGACAGCATATTCTCACAGTACATGTATAAAACTCTGTTTAGTGGAAATCACTTGTGGCTATTTAAAAAGCAATTTGCCACTCAGTTGGCTCTTTCAAGCTTTATGTCCTTCATGCTCCAAATTGGAGGAAGGTCCCCGAATAAGATTTTATTTGCTAAAAACACGGGGAAAATATTCCAGACAGATTTTCATCCTGCATATGATGCAAATGGAATGATCGAGTTTACTGAACCAGTACCTTTCCGTTTGACGAGGAATCTGCAGACATTTTTCTCTCATTTTGGAGTGGATGGCCTTATCATATCAGCCATGTGTGCAGCTGCACAAGCAGTGGCTTCACCTAAAGTAAGTGTAATCCGATTTCTCTCCAGCTTAAAACTAACCTTCTCTGCATGCAGAATTGATAAATGTTATTTTCAAATTCCTTTTTGCAGCAAAGTCAGCATATATGGCATCATCTGGCCATGTTTTTCCGTGACGAGCTGATATCATGGTCTTGGAGAAGGCCACTCGGTATGCCTCCTGCTGCAGTTGTTGGGAGTGGTGGTTTGAATTCTGTTGACCTTAAACAGAAGATCATTACAAATGTGGAGCAGGTGATAGGCCGGGTCAATGGAATAGCACCACAGTACATCATCTCTGAGGAGGTATACTTTATTTTACCTACTCTTTTATGATAATAATAAATAAATTGCCAAGTCTCCCAATTAAGATTTTTTGTTTATTTGATGTTGATTTGCAATAGGAGGAAAATGGCATGGGTCTACCACAGTCTTTGCAGAAGGGTGTTGCAGAATTGGTTGAAGCTGCCCTCACTCCCAGAAATTTGTGCATGATGGATCCAACCTGGCACCCTTGGTTCTAATTTATAACAACATTTTTTTGGGTTCTAACTCATCTGAGTTTTGTACATAATGACTAGTTTTTTGCTGTTACATTTAGTTAAGATATAATTAATCAAATAATTTTCAGTCTTGATTTTGGTCTTTTGTACCTAACCTTTTTCTAACGTTATTCTTCACTCTGCCATATTAGGTTCAGTTTCTAACTAAAAAAACCATTTAAACATACTCTGCCATATTAGGTTCAGTTTCTAACTAAAAAAACCATTTAAACATCTGTTGAAAAGTCCCTTGATTTTCGTCAAAACGTGTCCTATTTAAAGATACTTTGTAGAAGATGAATGTGCCAATCTTGATTTTGCTCAACCCCCATCCTCTACTCTTGCCTTGTCTCCATCTCCTAGGCTGAAATAGTACGGATAAAGAGTTAATTAAATCAATGTTCACTAAATTTTTTCCAGGTCACTACTTGCTCAATTTAATTTAAATAGCTAATCAGTGATCATCCATAGTTAAAAAGAATTATGCTACTTGTACAATTTTAGTTGACAGCCTTGGTTGGCAACTTCACATCTGATAGTATCATATTTATCTATTTTAAAAATTATTTTTTAAATCAACGGTATGAATTTTGACAACACAACAAGGGTTGTATAAATAGTTTAATTCAGTTAAAAAAGGTTACCCATTAATAAATCATGCTAATTTCATTCGTCCACATGGACAAAAGATTCACATGGACGGATTAAAGTCCTATGTGGCATTGATGGTGTTTAAGTGAGTTCAGTGAGTAATAGAAGTCATTTTTTAAAGTTTAGTGAGCAATTGAAGGCGTTTTTCAAAATTTAGTGGTCAAAATTAGACCATTTCAAAGTTTAACCTCAAAGTTTAATAACGTGATGAGACATCACATGTGCATTTCGTTAGTTATGTCACCAATTCCTTTAGATATTTGAAATGGAAGTTTAACATTTTTCAAAATTTAATGATCATCGACAACTTAAATTTTAGTGAGCAATCAAAGATATAAATGTAAAACCCTGTTTGATTGTAACAAATTTCATGAAAAATATCACGTTCGAGAAAAACGAATTCGACTTTACTCGTTTGATTGCAAAATGAAAATCGAATTTCAAGGTCAACCACTTTAAGCTACATTTTCTTTATTTTCATCGAAAAAGAATTCTTATTGGATTATCTAACGTGAAATCAGAAATCATTTCCAACTTTGCTACCCTAATTTCCGTCACCATGGAAAGATTCGAAACAATTAACTCAAAATGAGGAGAGTGGAAACACTATCGTCATCATTCTCCATATTCCTCCAAAGTGAAATAATTCGGGTGCACAATTGGGAGCTCCCAATTCTGCAGAAATCAAAAGGTCCCTTTCTCCTCATTCTTGTACTGTACTAATGGAGTCCCTTGTGTTTAAAATTTACGTTTGCCTTACAATAACTTTCTATGGATCTGCGATAATTTTGCATTTTGTTTGTAACGTAACATTTGTCTGCCTTTCGTGTTTGAATTTTTTTTTATTTCTGTAGTTTTGATCGTGGGCACTTTTCAAATTTCTTGAAATGCTATATATTCATTTTTCATGGATCTTGATGTTAGTATGATAGAATGTTGTTGTCTTCTTGACTAAATATAGAATTTTTCTTTATGGATTTATGGAACTTGTGATTTTTATTACGTTGCGAACTGTGGAAATTTATATGTTCGAGATTATTTTTTTGATTTTGTGTTAGTTGATTTCGTCAAAACAACTATGTTTAGGATTTATTGATTTATTCTTGAAGTTACTGCTCTCTCTTCTTGGGTTCTGCCTTGTGTGTTCATCTTGTCCTGTAATTTTGTGATGTCAATTATATCTTGGTACTTAGTTGCCCTGATAATCTGTTTTCTTCTGGGGAAAAATATTCTCTCGTTCATCTTAAACTCTTGGTTGCTTTTGAACCTTTGTTCTGGAGAAGTTTTGTGCATGATCTTGCTGCTCAGAATGGAATTTCAATACAATGAAGTTTGATGAACCAATTTCCGTACTGAGAGCGAGAAACATTCACCGCTTGTGATGTGAAGTACATAACATTGGATGTAATTAAACAAAAACAAAAGCTAAAATTTTGCTAATTGTATTGTTCAATTGTGTCGAGTACCACGGACCAAACATGCCCTCAATGCTGTCCATTTAACTCTCGTGACATTTGAGGTTGGGTTATGGAGCATTACCAACCATAAGTTTGATCACCCAAATGAACTGATGAAGCAGTGTATTCTTATATCATTTTGGATTCATAATGATCTTTATGTCAAAATATGTTGCTACTATACACCATAACCCATAATTTTCCCATTTTCATGGTGAATATAAAAGAGTTTTGTCTATGCTCATATGATTGTGATGCTGCACATCTCAATTGTATTCATTTTACCACAAAGTCACCAATCTTTTTAAAGCTTTTTGGGATAGATTAACAGCCTACAACTTAAGTCATTGAAATGTGTGTGTAATTGCTTATTAAGGGAGCTGTAACATATTAAAATGAACCTTCACCCTCTCATCACTTAAGAGTCAATTTACCCAGCAATAATAAGTTTCAAGTTGAGCCAATTTACCTCTTAAAGTAGAATGATCATAGTCTTCGAATATGAAGTGACTAGGAAGATATCTAATAAATCCGTTAATTGAAATGCTTGTTAATACTTAATACCATTACGTGGCTTGTACTCATTATAGCAACTTATTTTACCTAATATTTATCTCTGAAGTTCCTTATTTTCTATGCATTACTCTGAAAATTAATGGCCACAGAGGAACATGTTGTTTTGTCAGCTTTGAGGTCACAATAAGCTGAGTTCACATTGACTGGAAGTAGGAGATGGATAGAAACCAATACTGTGTGGATGCCTTGCAAGAGAAGGATGCAAAGAAGGAACTAGGTGTCCTCTGGCGTAGAGTTAAAACTGCTGCGACATTATTTACATACTTGAAATCGAAAGCCAGAATCATGGCTATTCCCCATATGGCTCATATTGTTTGTGGTATCAAACAATTAGATGGCACTGGCCTTGTCAATGAAAATGGTGTACCATTGTCTGTCTCGTCGAGAAATGTGGATTTGTCTTCCTTTGACAGTCTTGATGTGGAAACATGGACTGCACTTGGCAGTCATCATGGTTCACTTGATGAAGATGATGTAGTTTATATAAACGAATCATTCAAAAGTGTACATATGGTTGGAGATGTGATGGAAAGCCTTGTCAAGAGGGTTATAGTGGCAGAATCTGAAACTGCTATTGAGAAGGAGAAGGTGACTGTAGGGCTGGAAGAAATTAAAAGAAAGACCCTCCAAATTGAAAATATGTTGTTAAAATTAGAGGAGATGGCGCAATTGGCACTGGGCACTAATTGTATTCTAAATGAAATGCGACAGAGGGTTGAAGATTTGGTTGAAGAAACATCTAGACAAAGGGAAAGAGCTGCAGAAAATGAACAGGAGCTCTGTCGTGTTAAGCAAGACTTTGAATCTCTAAAAACCTATGTCAGTGGTCTGATTAATGTAAGGGAAACACTTATTTCATCAGAAAAGCAATTTCAGACAATTGAGAGGCTCTTTGAAAGGTCAGTATATTTTAGTTTTATTTTATGTTTATAGAATGCTGATTGACTTTTTTTGTGATAATATATCTTGCTCTGTTTATTGTTCATGGTGATGACAAGTTGGTTGTTGCTTTTCTTTTCATCCCCATTAAATTTTATTGTCTCATTTGTAGTTATAGATTTGTGCTAGCAGCTTCTTCAGTTGTAGGTTATCATTTGAGTAGTTTATAGTGGAAGAAATTAGGAGAATTTATTGAAGGCGCAAAATAGTGAGAAATAGAAAAAGGTTCTTTTTAATTTTCCTTTATAAAAGCCTCAAATTACTAGTCAATTAATTATAACCCAAAAGTGCCCCTCTGCTGAGTCTTTTTTTAACCTGTGAAGTTTTACCCAGCCTTTTCTTCACCCGAGGAAATTGAGAGTCCATTTGCCTAAGGAGTAAGAAGCTTCTCACCAAGGCAAACGACAATCGGATTCCATTTGATTAGAAAACATTGGATCTAAATGCGACAACGTTATTTAGTGGCATTATTGTAATTGTAGAATATTGTTAGAGCAATATCTCAAGGATCGGATATCCTTTGGGCCGAAACTTTGTGGACTTCATATTGAAGATATTAGCTTGCTATAGATCAAATGGAGTGACATTTGGAGGTTGGAAATAGTAGTTATGAAAATTATGATTCCTCGACCAAAAGACGTCTATTGGTCACTTGAATTTTTCCCGCTAAGTCTATTATAAAAGCAACATGCTGTGTCAACGGTCAGCTAGCCTCCCCAGTGCTACCGTCCTAAAGGAAGGGAAGGTTGCGGGCTATTCTTATGCACAAAATGTGCAATCCTTAAGGGCCCCAAGGACAACTAAAGGCCTACTTTAGGCGCATGTAGGGAAGGATAAAGTACTTGTATGCGGTCACGAACCCAGAGGGGGCCTGAGGTTGGTGATAAGAGTATTGTTATACTCCGCTAGTTATGTTGAGTATACGGTAACATCTCCAGGCCAATGAGCTATCGAGGCAAGCACTCTTAACATCTCGTGTGCTAAACTCGTGTGCATTGGCTATTATGTTCTAGTCTTGTCGCGAGGGTTTGTTGGCTAGAAATGACATCATGGGGCGACGCCTTATAGTTGGACAAATGAGGCAAGATGTTAATATTGTGGGAACAAGTATACTATGAATGCACTTCTAATTAGAAATAAGCATTAAGCTAAAATACGGTAGACGACGCACACGGATCGTATTGTGGGCATGCAAATGACCTTCAATGCTTCGTACAGAGTTAAGAGAGCTCATTTCCAGCGAGTATGTTTCAAAAGGACTATATGTTATGCGTGCGCATGTAGGTAAGCTAGATGTTCACTAAGAATAGGTGAGCGCCTTGACAACAAGTCTTGTGCATGGATGCGTTCGGGTGATTACTTGCTAGTAAACCTTATGGGCAAAATATGCAGCAAGTCATGTCTACACTCTTGATGGAAGTAGGCTGAAGGTTGTTGAAAAGAGTGAGACTACTACTGCACGGGTGCAAAAACAGTCTTCATGTGTCACTTAAAGATTTGGCTTCGTGTTAGTATCAGAGTACAAATTTGTGCCTTGAAGAGTATTCTGTATGAACCTTGTATTACTTTAATATGTAATTGATCGAAAGAACTCGTCAGAGCGCTATGGCTGAATCCTAGACTTTGGAAAATAGAATTGTGCCAATTTGTAACCTGATTGCGAGGGATTGTTATCGTGAACTTTAAACTGTTTCAATACTTCTAATTGTGGATTAGACATATTTTGGGGACACCTAGCATCGATTGAGCATAAGTTGACATCTTTATAAAAGTAGCAATTGCTACATTCATTGATTGAACTAATTGTGTATCGATTTAGCTCTGAGAGCATTGTTGCAATACATTATTGATGGCTATAGATTGAATTAAGACTATTGGGCTCATTTATGGTTGGTTGCTATAGATTGGGTGAAGTGTATTAGGAAACATTTAATATAATCCAAGGGAATCTATTAAATAAACATATTCTAAGTAGGAAACATCTAATAAAATTATAGGAAATCTAGTAAATACACTTTTCCTAAAATAAGAATCTAACCATGGAAAGTAGTCATGTAATAATAATAATAATAATAATCTAATAGGATTTTGATAATTTCTTATTGGCTAAGAGAACTCGATTCCATAGAGATGGACTGGAACTTCTTAGTCAAGAAGATCGATCTTTCAAGAACAGATAAGGAAACCGATGACATGACTACAATAGACTATGTAAAATCATCCTCAAGAATGATCTCACAAAGGGGACAATTTTTCCTCTTAACAAAATAGTGACGGGACACCTAAAGATAATAACCTATGCAACTTATCCCCAAATATTACTACAGAGTCTACATGAGGAGCACGATTCACTAACACTATAGATTGACCTACAGAAAGAAATGAGTGCAACACCGGTGGCTCGAATGTGCCCTAACAAGGAAATAATTCTGCTACAAAACTTTCATATAAGTGCGATGATTAGTTAAATGGATTATTTTCAAGTGAGTGATCCAAATTTTTTTTTTTTTACATATTTCAAAAATTGTGCCAAAGAAACATGAAGAAGGCGTAAAATTACCATAAAAGCATCCGTGCCTAAACAACTATGCATCATAAGTAAGCTCATCATTTTCATTATTTAAATAAATTATGCATTTTATCTTAGCATGAAAATTAGGAAAAGCGGCAATAGAGATTGGAGCTAAAATAATATGATGGTAATTAGTAGGTAACAATCGAATGTCGAAAAAGTATGTGATCGAACAATGGCCTTGATAAAAATGTGTGAACTCGAGGAATATCACACTGTGAAGGTAGCGTTAGAACAAAATCATTGATAAATTCACACAGAGAAGTAAGCAATAATAATTTTAGGTAAGGCTACGTGGAATGTAACAGCCCAAGCATCGTGCACGGCCGTTCTCTTATGTGCTACCCGCTTTGGGAGGGAATCTTCCCTTTTACCTCTCACGGCTTTCTGTCGCGTTCCAAGGATTCGAACTCCTCCATTTTTGAGTGAATTAAGTTGAATCCTGGTATCAATTGGAACCTTAATAGCCCAAGTCGGAGTTCTTTGGCCGATTATATTACAGTTATTCACTTGGTCCTAATGCAACTAACTGAACGTGGCTTACAATTTTGAGGTGTTACTTTTAGCTGTAACACCCCAAATCTAGTACTTTTAAAATAAAAATAAAAATAAAGACTTGAAGTGTTACCAAAATCTTCCTTATCAAATTTATACGGAATATAACACTATTGTACTAATATTGGGATTAGATCGATAAATCGTTAATTTTAAATTCAACAATTTAAATGGGAAAAATTTTCACACATAATTAAATATTAGATACTACGATTTTAAGTGTCAAATTCAATTTAACATAGGATGTCAAAGGCTCGAATGCCAAAACTACTAAAATAACGTGCACGTAATTAAATATAAAAATTTATCTTAAAACAAAAATTAGCAATAAATCCTTACTAGAATTTTTACTTGACAACCTATAAGCGTCACTCGTTCAATCTTCCACGCGTCCAGCATGAACCGTTCTAATATGAAATTGTTGTAAGAGTATTTTGAAAATACCCAGTAAAAATACGTGCAAATTCTTATTTAACATGATATAAATACAAAATGAAATAACATATCGACGTTCTTAGATTGAGAGCAAATTGGTAACGATATGAGATAGTTCAAGGAATTTTATTAGAATTCCCACATCTCGTTGGATTTACACATTTGGACCAACAGTCTTTCCCGAAAGATTTACATGAAAATTGACCTGAATGCTTTGGAGTATTTCATGCCAAAATTTATTAACATATCTAGAAAATAAGAATTTACCACTATGCAGTATATATTCTTACCTCAATTGGAAAATTAATCTGAAAATGACTTGTAGAATAATATAAAAGTAAAATCCTTTCAACTGTGTAGTTTATGTGTATGAATTTGCACAGGAATGAAAGTCTGCAATTTTTTTGAAGTTAAAAAAATATTTCCTTCAAAATATAATCGTACTTATTTCTAGAAAGTCATTATATATAGGCTCTAGAATAAAATCCATATTTTCTTCATGATTAGGACAAATACAACTAGACTTAGGACTTAACTTTCGAGAATAGGGTTGTAGGCTTAGCGCATGACATGCTTGGCGAAGTTGGAAGGATATGTACCTTATGTTGGCCTATCGGGTAAGCTTCATCTACGAATTATGGTGCGAAAATGTCGTCACACGTGATTTTAGGGGTCAAACTTCAAACCATCAGGAAATCTAGACATTTTGATGTGGGAGCTTCATAAACATTACAATTGTGCTATAGCTCTTTGAAATCAGCTAGATTTTCGCTAACAATGGAACACCTTGCCATAGTGCCAAAAGAATTAATCTAGTATCTGAGTTTGATTATACATGTGTGTATTTGTTACTTAATATTTGTCTCATCTCATCCTACAAAGTGACTAGACGGTTGCCCTAAATGATCAATATTATGCAAAAATAACTTAACCTAGCAGATCTGACAACATATTTACATTACAAATGCGATGGTCGTCGGCCAAACATGCCATAGCGACTTCTACCTTTTCCCTCTCCGATAGTCGATTCCTTGTGAAAATTCTCTGTGCTCTCCATAGCTACTAATCTGGACTGCCATCATAGAATATTGGCATCTTGAGGCGGCTTAGAGAATCCAATCCAGAATCATTTGCTCGGTCTCCTCGTTGCAACATCAGTTGTTCCAATCGATTGAATATTGAACTCCATTTCTCTTCCAATTCCTTGCTGAAATTTGTTTCCATTTGCCCTAGATTGGATGCTCTGATACCAATTTGATAGGATCCTAGTTGTTGCTGAAAAAGCTGATATGTTTTTGATTCTTGCTGATGATGTTGTGGGGTAGTTGTTAATCCTGCTCTGGACTTGTGAAGATGTTGATGATTTGTGTCGGATTTCTAGGAAATAAATTAGGAAGT